TCCCGCCGCCCGGCTGTGTCCTCCGGCAGCCCGTGGAAGGGATCTGCCTGCCTCGCTGCCCTCCTCCCCTCACCCCCTGCCCGGGGAGGGGGCAGCGGCCCCGCTCTGTGGGGCTTTGCGGGCATCCCGCAGCTGCGGTGCGCTCCCCTTCCTTCCCCAGTGTACTCGGCTTCCAACCTCCTGGTGCTGTTAAACGACTGGATCCTCCGCAAGGAGCTGCAGCGGAGCCTGCCTGTGGTAAGGCGGGAGCGTGGGGGAGGAGGACTTGGGATCCAGGCTCTCTTTCAGACGGAAGCTTTCAGAGGGTGTCTGGAAAGTAACAGGATGTTGCTGTGGCTTCTTTTTGCTGCCAGGTGTGTAGAGGCCCGAGGCAGCCTCTGAATGCAGGTGCAGCCCTGCCCTGTAGGTGCTGAGTGGGAGGGGTGGCCAGAGCACTCCCCGGACTGCAGAAATCAGGCCCTGACTCGCAGCAGGAGCCCCACTGTGTTTTTTTGAGAAGCTCAGAACCTGGGATAGGCAAAGGGGTTGCTGAATAACCGTGGCTGTTTCCACAGCAGTGGCTCTGGAGCCCCGACGCTCTCGTTCCACCCTTCAGACTCCTGCTGTGCATTTGCTATTGAGCAAAACAAACAGAAGCACCGTGCTTCTATGTCTCTCTTGCAAGAGCCCTAGACTGGCTCCCAGCACTTGTTAGACCCTTTGGGGAATGAGGAGGAGGGCATTTCTTTCCAGGCAGGCTTCCTCTGTCGCAAGCCTGCCCGCTGCGTGGGTTTGGGTGTTGGCAGCTCCCTGGCTGGAGTGTCAGGTGTGTAGCAGACAGAAATGCAGGAGACTTACCTCCCTGGTTGCTAAAGGCCAAAGTGAATTTCAGCTGTATTGCTTTTCAGTGGGTTAAATCTTGGGGTTGAGAGCACCAGCAAGCTCCTGTATGGGGAGCAGGGACCCAGGCTGGAAGAGCACTTGATGTCTTAGGGTTCATGCCAGGGATCTAGACCAATTCAGCCACATTCACTCTGCTGTCATCGTGCACTCTTGTTTCCCTTCCCTCCACTCCAAGCATATTCCCTTGTCACCTCTAACCAGGAGAGAGGTTTGTCGTGTAGCTCAGCTCTCTAGGACAAGGTGAGAGAGAGAGAGTGAAGTTTGTGCACAGTGTCATAACTCAGAGACTGAGGGGTACAAGGCAATCCAATACACAGGTGTGATGTTCTCACTGTTCCTGGGGCAGCAGCTGTATGTGATACTGTTGACGTCTCAGTCTGCCCCTTCTTGGAGGTGGAGCAGTGGGCTTGTGTGTAGACTCTGATCGCAGTGGAGGCACCACTTTTGGTTTCTAGGGCTGTGATTTCCAGGGCCATCCAGTGGTTATTTCTGAGGGTCCCGCCAGACTGGGCTGTGCTTCTGCCCCATCTAACTCACAAGCAGAACCTGCATCCTGTCCCCCTCCTCCCCTCTGTGTTTTGCAGTCACTGCCCCAGCAGAAGCTGCTGACCTGGCTGAGCGTGCTAGAATGCGTGGAGGTTTTTGCAGAGATGGGGACAGCCAGGGTGTGGGGGGAGATGGGCCGGTGGACCATCATTGTCCTCATCCAGCTGGCTAAGTAAGTGCTGTGGGCAGAGGGGAAGGGGCTGCGTCCACTCGGGAAGGGGATCTGGAGGGGACTCAGCAGTACCTTGGGGAAAAGTCCAAACAGCACTGAGCTGCCAGTCCCAGAGGCTGAGGGAGTTTGGAGCCCCACAGTGTGCTGGACACTGTGCCACAGAAAGAGACACCCTTCTCACCTTGCCAGTTGTCCCGAGCAGACATGAGTGTCTCCCTCTTCTGTGGAATCCACCTTTCCAGTGCAGCAGGAACCCAGCTCCCAAACCTGCTATTGAAGGCTTCCACGTGTCTGCCCACAGAGCCATCCTTCGTCTCCTGCTCCTGCTGTGGTACAAAGGCGGCATCCAGACATCTCCTCCCATCGTGCCGCTGAACAGGGAGCAGCAGCAGCCTCTCCACCCCCAAGGTGAGCCCACAGTGCTGTCATTGACTTGGAACCTTGCTTTGCCACATGCCTTGCCCTGCCAGGAATTACTCATAAGAGCAGTGGCTTGGATGGCACAGGGAACTGTAAGGCTTCGGAACACAAAGCTGAGCTGTGTTGAGTGTTCTGCCCTCTGCTTAGTGGCAGGGTTGTCCTGCAGTCTAGAAGGAGAGGGTGGAGGAGTCTAAGCCTGGAATCACTGGCTGAACTGTTAGTCCACCTGTGTGTCCCCTGATCTGATGGTAAGAGATCAGGGTAGTCAGGCAATGTCAGGCAGATTTACCCTTTTACCCTCTTGACAGCTCCACACAGTGTTAGCTCCTTCAAGATGGTCCAGTTTGCATAAGATTAAACTTTCAGCCTGGTTTTCTAGATGGCAGTGTAGGAAAGGGTGCTGCTGGCCCTGGAGTGAGTTGTGTTCCTTTGGAACCTGACTCCCATAGCTGTTTTCTCTTGCAGACATGGAAGACAACTCCCTGGGGAAGGACCAGACCTATGTTGGCAAACGTTCCAGCCGTGTTGTGCGCTCTCTCCAGAACAGTAAGTACCTGGGCCTGTTTTCTGTCCTTGCCTGAGCTGTTTCTGCTCTGTGCCCTTCTCATGAGACCCCACCTGGAGTACTGTGTCCAGTTCTGGAGCCCCCAGCATGAGAAGGACATGGCGCTGTTGGTTTGAGTCCAAAGGAGGGCCACAAAAATTACTCAGGGGCTGGAGCTCTCTCCTATGAAGACAGGCTGAGGGAGTTGGGGTTGTTCAGCCTGGAGAAGAGAAGGCTCTGGAGAGACCTTGTAGCAGCCTTCCAATACCTGAAGGGGTCTACAGTAAAGCTGGGGAGGGGCTTAAAAACTGGAAGATTAAAACTGGAAGAGGGTATATTTAGGTTAGACATTAGGAAGAAATTCTTTAGTGTAAGGGTGGTGAGACACTGGCACAGATTGTCCAGAGGAGCTGTGGATGTCCCCTCCCTGGAAGCGTTCAAGGGCAGGTTGGATGGGACTCTGAGTAACCTGTAGTGGGAGGTGTCCCTGCCCGTGCAGGGGGTTTGGATCTAGATGATCTTTAAGGTCCCTTCCAACTCAAACCATTCTGTGATTCTATTATACATGACTTAGGTGTGGGCAGTGAGGAGCAGAACCTGGTATTGGGACACATCCTGCCAGTCAGTGGGCCCTGTAGGCAGGAAGGTATCAAAGCATCAAGGATTCAGGCACGTACTGCAAGGATAGCACTTAGAATTGTATTTCCCCAAGTGAGCTGTCCGACAGAGACAACCCTTCAGTGTGGTCACGCTTTGAGGAAACCAGACCTTACAAGTTACCTCTCCCTGCTCTGTCCCCACTGGAGGTGAGCTCCAAGTGTGCTGGTGAGCTGCAGCAGTCGCTGTGTGCACAGCTCTTCAACCTTTCCCATTTCACACCTTCACTGTGCAGAAATCAGCAGGGTGGCAGTGTGGGGAAGCGTGGTAGGAAGGTTTTATTTGTGTTGGTGACCTGATCTGCTTCTTTCAGCCCCATCCCTGCAGTCCCGGCACTGGGGGTCTCCCCAGCAGAGGGAGGAGTCGCAGAGCCGAAGGGCAGAGGAGATGAACCAGCCTCCCACCCCTCTGGGTCTCCAAGAAACCATCGCAGAATCCATCTACATTACCCGCCCTCTGCTCCACTGTATCCTGCCCTGGCTGGGAACAGGCACACGCCCTACCCAGGTGCCAGCAGAGGGTGCTGCGGGCTCGGTCCTGGCGCGGGGCAGTGCCACACCAGCCTCCTCTCTCCCTGCCACTGCTCTGCTTAGGCAGGGGCCTCGGGACTGCTCCCCTCACTTTCACCTTGAGGACTAGCCTCAGCCGAGGAGTTGTGGGCACGAGTCCTCCAGCCTCTTTCCTGGGCCCTCCCAGCACTGCCTGAGAGCATGTTCTCCTGGGCTGGGCAGAGACCTGTTGGTACCCAGGAGATCACTTGACTGCAGGCCTTGTAGGCATCTCTGGTTCTTTCTATTCCTTGACTGTGTATTCCTAGTACTGAGTTTAGGAGTGTGGGGCCAGAGATCATGGAAACCCTGGCTCCTCTCAGCAGTCCTGGACATCTCGAGGTCAGTCTGAAGAAGAGTCTTTGTGCTTGAGGTTGGTGGTGGCTGAGCATCACACTTTCCCCTGCTCCCCTGTCCTGGGCAGGCCCACTTAGAGAAATAAGCACAGGGAGGGCCTGGTGTTTAGCCAGGAGATTGACACATTTCACTATCTTCTGCAACACTTAGTGCTCTGTGTTCTGAGCTGGTGCAGCCTGCTGCGTGTGGAGCCGAGAATGGGGGGCATTTGGAAACCTGCTTTCTTTTCCCTGCTGGCTGCTGTTGCCATGAATTAGCCCTTTACCCTTTTCCTTCCAGTCTGAGCTTGCTGAGTGATCTGCAAGACCTGAACAGGCGAGAGCGAGCAGAGCTGAGACGACGGACCCTCCTACTGCTGTACTACCTCCTGAGGTCTCCTTTCTATGACCGATACTCAGAGTAAGGGGCCCCTGCTGGGCTTTTGCTGAACATTTCCCTTTTAACAGAACTAGCGTCAGGGACTGGGTGAGTAGATCTGAAGAGATTTGGGTGCCTGTGACCGGGTTAATCTGAGCCCTTGAGAAGAGCTGCCGTTGCTGTTCGTGCACTCAGCAGCTGGGGCAGGAGGTGTCTCACTGGACTCGTTCATACTCTTCTCCCTTTGTAGGGGCAGGATCCTCCTCCTCCTGCGCTTGTTGGCTGATTACGTGCCTGGAGTTGGCTTTGTCACACGTAAGTGGGCCCCCCTGCTGGATCCCCATTTCTGTTGGGTAGAGAAAAATCAGGGGAATTGGGCAGAGTGTCAATCAGTTTTCAACCTGAAGATGGAATTGGGAAGTCCCTAGAATGCTTAGTAGTGGTGCACCCTGTGATGATGCTTGTGTTGTTTTAAATGGAATAGGAAAGGATTAATTGCTTCCTGACTATTAGGGACCTGTGCTCAAGCACTGTGGTAACCTTCCCTGTGCTCTCTCATGCTGCAGAGGTTGGTCTCTATCACCGAGGCCTGTTCTCCTGAGCTCCCTTTTGCACTTCAGCTGGTGCACCAGAGCCCTGCATTGCAGCCCTTGTTTTTTAATTGGTTTTTTGATCACTGGTCTGCAACGAAGACATGATGGGGTAAACAGGTGTCTAGAGGTACTGACCCAGCCAGGAGCTGATTGTAAAAGGGCCAAACCAGGGCTTTTTTTTCCTAGTCCTTCATCAGAGGATCCTTTTACTCTGGGCCAGAATTCCACCTCCCCCTCTTCCCTGCTGATGTGAAGTCTTTTGTTGAGTGATTCATGGCAGTGATGTGGCATTAGATCAGCCTGGCACCTGCAATTGTCCTTTCTTTGGAGAGTTCACAAAGCTAGCTAGCTCAGGAGCTCCAGCTAGTGATTTTTGGAGCCTGCATTAAGCCATGTGCTACATAAGCATTTTCAATCTACAGCAGTTGATTCTGTGTCTGCACCTGCTCGTTATTGCTGAGTTGTCTTTGCTCTTTGCTGTGCCACAGTGGTGTCCTCCTGACTTTCTGCATGCAGGTTTCCCCCTTGCACATTGCAGAGCCCCCTTCCCAGTGGAGCTTGGACATGTCAGCTCTGAGGGAGCAGTGTCCCACACCATGGCTGTGCTGACCATGTTTCATGCCCCGCTTGGTCCTGCTCTCATGTCTGACACCACATCCCAAAGTTGTCTCCCATCTTGGCCAAAGTAAATGTTGTATTCCTGGGTTCAAGCTGAGTTGTGTAACTGGAGATTTGGGATTGCTGGGCATCATAATGAGAAGTGGGGATATACCCTGTATACATGCAGCTTCAAATTTTTATGCCTTTCTGTATGCATAACCCTTTTGTTCTCTTGTTTTCAGGGCCACTGATGGATTACTTGCCTGCTTGGCAGAAAATCTATTTCTATAACTGGGGCTGATGAGAAGATGATAATTATTCTCTGCTAAGATCATGGCTGGACATTTTTAAAGAGGGCAAGCAGGCTGGGGGAAGGGATGTTGATAATATCTAATTTTCAGTTAAACCATCAATGAGAATCTCCTGCTCTGTAGGGTGTGGGGGGGTGTATGTAATTTTTTTAACAGATACAGCTGTGAGTGATGAACACTACATGTGTGGAGACACC